AATCTAAGACTGCCAACACAATCGTTTAAAAAATCAAATTGTGGGCACCTTGATTGTTTGCCGATTGAAGACTATGACGATGTTCGCCCTTTAATGCTGCTGGGCCTAAATTGTGCCAACATAATTGCATCTTCTGCATCAGTGACCGCCGGCGCATCTAATCCAGTAACTATTCAAACCAAACTTGGATAGGTGGCGTATGGTCCAACCGGTTCAGGTATCACCGTCCATTCGCCAATGTTATTTGCCCTAGCAGAACCATCATTTAAATGTGTTGATCGTATTGTTGCCGAATATTTTAATTGTGAAAATTTTGGAATTGAAAATCCAACACCGCCGCTGGAGTCAGCCGATGATTTGAGATCTCGTAAAATCTTGTCTGACACAACACGCCGTATCAATGATCGTTATGAGGTTGTCCTTTTATGGAGAAAAAATTCACCAATATTGCCTGATAGCGACGCCATGGCTGTCAAACATTTGCAAGGAATTGAAGCTAAAATGAGAAATAATGTCAAATTCGCAGAACGATATAAGACCGAAATTAACAAATACATCGCCAAAGGTTACGCCAGGAACTTTTACGTAGACGATTACGTTGCCAGTTTCGATACAGAAGAGCACGCTCTACTAATTTGTCAGCAAGTGGTGCAAATTAATGCAAACGCCGGCTTTGAACTTCGTAATTTTTCATCAAATTCGTTAAATTTACAGATCGTCATGAATGTAGGTGAAAGTGCAGAGACCATCTGTTTGAATCGGCAGAGCCAAATTGAGAAAATCTTGGAAATGTATTGGAACGTAACAAATGATTAGTTTCAATTCTTAACAAAATTTCATCGCATATCTAAAGAAGTTATCGAGGGTAAAAGGGTTCCAACAAAGCGAGAACTTTTAGTAATTGTGATGGCTATATTTGATCCAAACGGCATCTTAGCGAATTTTTTACTTGTTGCCAAAGTATTATTGCAAGAAACCTGGAAAACCAAATTAAATTGGGACGACTTGTTACCACCTACTTTATCTCAAAAATGGTTTCGGTGGTGGGACGAATTTGCCAGAATAGGCAATTTCTTTATACCAAGATGCTACTCGCCGCATCTCAACATTGCCAAAGAGGTCCAAATCCATATATTTGTGGATGCTAGTCAAGTTGCATTTGCTGCAGCAGTGTATCTGCGAATTAAACATCAATATGCAGTCGATGTAGTTTTTGTCTGTGGTAAGACTCGCACAACGCCTAAGAAATCTCTATCCATGCCAAGGTTGGAACTGCAGGCTGCAGTCTTGGCTACTCGATTATCAAAGCTGGTAGTGGACAGACATGACATAAACATAAGCCGTATAGTATTTTGGACTGATTCCAAAACCGTTCTTTGTTGGGTAAATTCAAGAAATCGCCGATTTAAACCATTTGTTGGGCATCGTATAGCTGAAATATTGACCTCAACGAAAGAAGACCAATGGAGATGGGTGCCAACTAAGATGAACGCTTCTGACGCTGCAACAAGAGCCAAAGAGGTGCCTAAAGTAAACAATGGCAACATTTGGTTAAAAGGGCCAACCTTTTTACGTCAAGAATAAAATAGCTGGTTTGCTACATTTTCGTTTTATACTGACACGCTAGAAGAAGAGATTACGACACCGATATTACTACAATATCAGGCCAGTGAAACATTGATAGAATTTAACCGTTTCAGTTCTTTTTTAGACTTAAACGTTCTGTTGCCTCGTTCCTAAGAGCTATTGAAATATTCCGTAGAAAACGAGATCCACTATTTATAGAAGAGTGTTATAATTTGCAGTCGTTGCCACCGTTATTACCAAGTGAAATCAATGAAGCCGATAAATTTATAATGCAACTGATACAGGAGGATTGTTTTTCGGAGGAAAAGAGTCTACTTAACCTTCAACAACCTCCTAACAAAAAATGCAAACTATACAAATTAACGCCATACGTAGACAACGAGGCCCTAATAATGAACTAATAATGAAACACTATCATGTTGCCTACAAACATCAAAATCAAGCTACAATTATCAACGCCGTACGCCAAAAGTTCTGGATAATTGGTGCCAACTTTTGAAATCAGTCCAACGCAATTGTATGGAATGCCGCCTTGAAGCCGTCAAGCCAGCGCCACCGTTAATGGGTCAGCTCCCAGTCGACCGTATAACGCCGTATGTACGACCGTTCTCATACACAGGTGTTGACCTGTTTGGACCATTACATGTTATTATTGGTCGTCGCGGTGAGAAGCACTGGGCTGTCATATTCACATGCGTAACAGTACGCGCTGTGCATATAGACATCGTCGATAGCTTATCAACAGATGCGTTCCTAGTATGTTTCCGCAGTTTTATTAACCGTCGTGGTACGTCAGTCAGAATGCGTAGTGACAATGGCACCAACTTCATTGGGTCACAAAGGGAATTATGTGCTGATAAAAAATTTCTTGATGTTAATTATATACGTGAGGAAGCCACTCAACTTGGAATTGAGTGGATATTCAATTGTGGATATTCAGTGCAGGTGGTTGCTGGGAGCGCCTTATAAGAATGATTAAACGTCTATTATTCAAGTCAATCAGAGAAGAAGCACCGAAGGTGGAAACATTAAGGGCAGCACTAATTGACAGCACTAATTCAAATTGCTTTTGAAAACTTATTTTTTATAACATTTTGGCACACGTATTAAATACATGTGATCTCACAACGATAACATCAAATTGCTCTCTTTTGGGGCTGCAGTATAATAATTTGTTGTTACTTGCTAATCATATGTTTACTTTTTACTAATACAAAAACTTGTGCTTCCTTATTTGGTTAATATAACATTACGTAAACAAGATATATATTGCACCAAATAATATATGATAAATATATATATAAATTAATATATAATAATTAAAATCAATCAATTTAAATCAGTTTATTTTGCTTAATTAAGTAATATATGTTCAGTAAATTAATTTTTGTTGTATTTTTCATATGAAATTTATAGTATTTTAATGTATTATGTTCGGCAACAAACTTTTGTAGAGGCAAATTTTTTAATTAAATAAAAAAAAACAGCTTTGAATATATCTTATTCAAACATTATTTCAAAACATTATTTCATAATAATGTAAAACATTATTTCAAAAACAATTTTGATATAATAGCATTAAATACCATTTTGATATGAAATTAATAACAAAGACTGAAGCTACTACCAATTCACTTTTTTATACGGCAGTACCTAAGTGATGCACAATAAATTTAAATGTATGTGGGGAATGATACGTATTATTGCCTCACATGCATTTCTAATTGATCTGTAGCAATAAATCTGTTAATAAGCGAGGGTGTATGCGCATTCGCTCTAAATGTATGTGGTGAATAATACGTATTATTAATTAACATATATTACTGCACGAAAAATCTGTTGATGGGGTGTATGTGCATTCGTATTAGATTTATCTAAGTAGAAATATTTTTATATAAAATTTAACAATTTTTAAATTTTAATATTGAAAAATTTTAGTCCTACATTATGATTATAAAATACATAATTTATTGTTCTTATGAAATGAAATAGACTTGATTATTTACCAGAATTAATGCAAGATTTAAACGAGATATATGCTATACATTTTTAGTTCATCTGTTTGATGAATATTTCATAATATAAAAATTAAAAACATATTTACTTTTTATTTTGTGTTGTTTATATATAAAATATATGAACATTTTCTTCAAAATTTAAATGACCTCAAAAAAATAAATTTATTGTGGCTCATCATATGATCATGATTATGTAGCGCCTTATGTTTATGTTTTAAATATTTTAATCTCAATGTGAACATAAAATGCACACTTACTAATATTTTAAAATAAATAGTAAAATACTTTCGCTAAACTGTTATATTAGATATATGCATAGAACTTAAATGAAAATTTATATTCTTTCATCATTATTGTGTGGAAATTTAAAAGATAAACCATAATAAATATTTTACATTCCTTGTATTTTTCTATTTCTACATTTAGTTTATTTAGCTTTTTAGTTTATTCGACCAAACTTCAAGATTTGGTATGCATTTTCCACACCACCCAAGAGGTATGCATAAAGGTGCGTTACCGAGTTTAGATACCGGTTCCCCAAGAGGCATGTCCACTATTATTTATTCGTTATAATTTTTTACTGATTTTTACAAAAAAAAAAACAATAATAATTACAATACTTTTAAAAATTAATTGCAAATTTAAATATACATAAACTAAAAGCAAAAAATTATTAAAATAAAAATTAAATTTAAAAACTTAATTTATATGTAAAAGTCAACTGAATATCATGCGGAAAATCAACAATTAAAAAAAACATTTAACTGCAAATAATAACACGACGTTAGTTTAGTCTTTGCAGACGTTTCAATATTTTTCAAACAAATAGTTATGCTAAACAACAATTATTCACTTTTTACATGCTATATAATTTTTACGCTTGTATGTAAACAAATTTATTGTACAATTATAGTTTAATAAATACATACCATTGAAAATACATTGCATTTAAACATCTATTTTGTAGTTTGCTTGACATTTATGGTCAGTAAGATTCATATTCAATTTTTATTTGCTAGTATAGGTTGAAATATATATAGAAAAGAAATATAGAAACCATAATTACGATTTTTTGATATTTTATATATCATTTTAAAACTAATTTGATTGAAAATAATATTTTCAATAATATTTCAAAAAAAATTTGGAAAAAGTATTCACACAAAACGAATGTTTTTATTATAAATTGTTTTTTATAATTTAATTTCTTTATCATTATGAACATGAATTACTACTTACAAATATTTTAAGTAACACTTTCATATCTGTTATTGCACATATACTGTAAAACAATTGTGCAAAACACTTATGACACAAATTTACGTAAAACTTAAATGCAAAGTGTAAGTACTTTTTATTAAGTATTTACTCGGTAAATTTTGTATGATTTTGTATGAATCAAAACCAAAAAGCAGAACCAATCTCTTTCTTATACTCATCGTGGTAAATTTTCCGAAATATTCCGTTCTCAAAAGTACCTGAAGTATCGGAAAAAGGTGCAAAATTTTAGTGATTTCAGCTGGTGATAGTGCACTTTTCACTAACACTTTCAAGAGCTCTACGGCAAATTTTTGTTGTGCGGAAAAACAAATTTTAGTTCACAAAATTTCTTGTAAAGTATTGTTCTTGTAAAGTATCTTTAATTTAAAGATTAATTGGAGTGGATGGTGGTCTTTATTTGGAAAATTGATTTGGTAAATTAAAGTTCACTTTATCAAATTTTGTTTGCAACTTGGTTATTGGATTGAAAACATTGAATCAGTATTAGTTTTACTTCTTGGACTTAAATTAATTTAAAATGCTGTTTGTATTGGTTTGTGTTCTATTTTGTATTGAAGCTACAAAATCAATTGAGTTGGATAAAGTTTATCGTTATCAACCGGAGCAAGTGCATTTGTCTTTTGGTGGTGAGTTTGTATTTTTTTTATTCATTTAGCTATTTGGGATGTAGATCTGAAATAAAAAAAAATTTGATTACTAAAACCTAGTGTGTTATTATGACGAGGTTAAAAAATTAAGATAAGATCAGCTCAAGTCAGCAACGTTGCTAAAAATCAAGGCTGCTATTTACAATAAAAATTTAAATAATGATGTTTTTGTTATAGTTATGAAAAATCTTTCGTTTGGTGAACAGGAATTAGAAATCAGAAGCATATTTTTCAAATTACAAGGAAAATAAAATTTGGCATAAGTTTTTTTTTAAAAAAATTTATTATTGAAAAATCTAGATATTTTACAATATTGCACGCAAATTTCTTTAATAGAGATTTAATTAAGCTATCAATAGCAACAAAGAACTAAAAACAAAAATCTAGGTTTATGGACTTTTAGACTGCTGATTGCACCTTCGAAATTTAAATGGAATGTGAATATGCGAAAAATGGGAATTTATTTAAATATATTTTTGCATTTATGTTGAGAATGTATTCTATATGATTCTTATTTATTCAGTTACGTGAACATTTTTTTTATATATTATCATATAAAATTTTTTTTAAAACTTAATATTTGAGAAGTTTAGAAGTTTGCCTTTAACTTTAAATTTATCAAAATTGTACTACTCAATTTTTATACTTTTTGTTGTTATTGATAGCTTGGTTAATTCTCTATTAGGTAAAGTCAATATAAAGTCAAAAGATATTCCATTTTTTATATTCCTTGTAATTTGAAAAATACATATCAGATTTTAATTGCTATAAACCATTTAAAAGTTTTTTCAGGACTATAGAAATGATGCCTTTTGTTTCAGTTTATTTCTTTGTTTTGTTTAAATCATTATTTAAGTTGTATTTTATGTCAAATTTTTCTTTGCAAGTTTTTATGATTTGTTGATTTTACTGCGTGACTTTAGGCTAAATATGTAATTAAAACTCTATTTTAATTATCACTTTATGTTTTTAAAGTGATACATTATTTATCGATTATTGTTCTTTGTCATCTTGCGGATACTAATGAGAAATTAGTTGGTTTTATTAATACTAAAAATAATCACATAATAGTTTGTTTTTATTTTTTATTGTAAATATTATATTGGCACACTAAATTTCTACATACTTACTAGCATTTCTTTAAATTATGGTTAAAGTTTAAAAACTCACTTGTCGGAATGTTAGTGATAAGCATTTCTTACATTAGCCTGATTAATAGCAACATTATTTTTTGCAACACAATTTTTAACGTTTGCTTAATCTACGTCAACTAATTCAGCCTTTGTTTTAGATGCTTGTGTTGGAAAAGTCTGGAATGTGTGAATGATCTGTAAACGTTCAGATGGAAACAGCGCACTAATGGTTTACTGTGTTCACGTTACTTTACTGACTTTGAAACATATTCATCTTAAAGGCCGAATCAGTTGTCGTTGGTGAACCGAACGTGGATCATGTAAAAATTATAGTGCAAAAAATAATATTGCTATTAAGGAGATTGATACTAGAAAAGATTATAAGCAACTTACCGCTAAGTGATAACTTCAACCTCTTAAGTGTTCTACTGATGTACGAACTTTGTCTTCAACTTGTCAAAAACATTTACAGTTGAACCAAAACACACTCAGAATTGCTCGTAATATGTTTATAAACCTAATTTTTGTATCGAATTTTGTAAGCATTGTATGTGTATATTTAAAATACCTTAATCCTTATAATATTCAATAAGCACTTTAACTTGTTGAATATTGCTTATTGGTTATAGATTAAGCACTTGAAACTTACTCTATATAAAGCAGAATTAGGTTTCGACGAGAATCAAAGAATAGTTTTTATTGATTGATTACTTTCTTTATTGTTTCAATTTCTTTTATACAATTTTTGTGCAATAATTTTATTAATAATAATTATACCTCAGCAACAAATTAATTGGAACACTGTTAATAATGCAAAATGCAACGTTGCATATTTCACCGTTGCTCCAGTTAAGTTGTTATCTCAGCTTAACATAAATATTCAAAATAAATTATTTCACAATTGCTAAATTGCTTAAAATATAAATTGAATGACACAATTTAACAATGTGAAATAATTTATTTATTACTTAATTTCTATCTTAACATTATCCCCTCCGTTGAGTAGTATAATAATAACTCAACTACTTATACTTCCACAACGAGCTGTTGCCGTCTTGGGGTAGGTTGTGGATATGCTGTGGACTCAGATTGAGGTGAATCATCTTTTCGTCGGGTTTGTTCACACTTCTTCATAGATTTGTATATTATGTAAGTGCAACACAATGTCAGCAGTAAAATAGTTCCCACGTAACTAATTATATGGTGTGGTTGAGAAACTGGTTCGGCCTTAACTGAAAACTTATCCATAGCCTTTAACCTTTGATGTAACATTGATAGTTCTTTCAGTTGTGTCTCAAGATGATCGTCAGCCTTGTTGATGATTGTTTTTATTTCATTTGGTGTAGTTATGGATGCAAGCTGTTCTACATGAACAAATGATGAATGAACTACAGATGGCAATGAGTAATGACCTTGAATTGTAACTAGATTGTTTCTTATTGTACATTCTGGTCGTAAAGTTAGAATGCCCGATCCTTCTATTGTGACTTGATTTAATTGTGTTCCGCAAACAGATGACATCTCAGTTCTATTCACTGTAGCATATATCCATTGATTTGTTTGTTCCATTTTCGTCCAAACCATCTTATTGGATAACTGTGTTAATCTGCAGCTTGTTGTGGTTCGATTATTAAATAATTCTATCTCGCACGTATGAGTTTCTGAGTATCTGCCTAGTTTTATATGCTTTCTAGAACAAATATACACCGCCTTGTTCGGAATTTGACAATTATCTAGCTCATTTTCTCGCAGGGGAATGCATTGATCTCGAAATGTGTTTACTGCTATAAACGAGACATCACTTTTGATTGTTAAAATGGTGTTGTTTATAACTGTTGGTATAGGTAATATTCTGAATAGTTTCATGTCATAAGAATCTATAAGTGGTACCTTAATAACAAATATGATTTGTTCCTTAGTTACTGCTCCAGATATTTCCATTATTCTGTAGAGTTGAACTAAATCATCTTGATTAACCGGAAATCGTCGAGATGGTGGAATATGACTTCTTATATGCTTAATCTCATTTTTGAGTTGTTGAGGTGATAACAATAGAGGACTTATTTTTCCGTGATGAGAGTCAATTAAAACATTTATAATTTCCGCTTGTATTCTTTGCAAATTAGCACCCATCAGTGTCAATTGTATTGCAATTGATATGAATATCTGCGTAATTTTAATTTGTTCGGTTTCATTGTCGATTCGATTTAGTACTTGGCTAATTTGATCTTGAAGTTGACCAAGTTGACTATTAACAGTTTCTTCATCACGTTTAAGTATATTTAATGTTGAATCTATTATGGAGGTTTGATTCTGCAGCAATCTAGCTAGGTGGTTATCATCTTCCTCTAGCTGATTTATTGTTTGTGACATATCCTCTGCGTAATTTGAGTCCAGAACCCCAAATAAAGCCTTTGCCACATTTCCAACGAGGTTTATGGCTCCTCGTTTATCTCGTCTGTTGTTTAATAAAATCTTCTCCTGTAGGATATCATCTCTTGTATGCTCAAACGTACCTACGAGCGTGTGACAAGTCGAACCCTGCTGTAGCTTGATGCACAATTTATCTAGTGCAGAAATTCCATTAACGAATGTGTTATATTGAGTCTGTACCGGAGCTAATTCATAATAAACAACCATTTTCCATTCACCTGTTACCATCTGAACAGTGCCCATATTTTCGAAGTAGAGACCAATACTTGAATTAAGCTGTGTTGTGGTTACAGGATTGCCCAATATAATTGGCAGAAAGAATAGTGTGAGAATAATTGCGAATAATGTTGTTTGTTGGGGCAACTTTATTTTCTTTGATGGAATTACCAAGGTATCTTCCTGGCTTATGTTTGAATGATGTTTTCGTTTTTCGTCTTTCTCTTCATCTTCTCGAAACAGTGGAGCAAGCCGATGAATAGGCCGTTTACAAATTCCTGCAACTGTCTTCACTTCCACTACTCGTACCATGCCATCATCGCCTCGAAACACTTTCGTAACACGACCTAAGGGCCAGTTGAGTGGTGCTGTATTGTCTTCTTTGATTATGACCATCGTGTTTTCTTTGACATTGTTAACAGGAACCTTCCATTTATGTCGCTGTTGTAGTTCTGTTAAGTACTCAGCGTTCCATCTTTTCCAAAATTCCAGTCTCAAATGAGAAACCAATTTCCACCTGGTAAGTAGGTTGTGATTTGTCCCATGAACATTGGTGTCTATAGGTGCAGTGAGTGGTTCACCAATTAGGAAGTGACCTGGTGTTAATGCGGCAAGATCGTTTGGATCTGATGACATTGGTGTTAATGGTCTTGAGTTCAATATTGCTTCAATTTCCACAATGATCGTTTCCAACTCTTCATAGGTTAATGAAGCTGTTGATGTACTTCGAACTAAATGATATTTAGTTGATTTAACAGCTGCCTCCCAAAGACCCCCGAAATGTGGAGTTCGAGGTGGAATGAATTTAAATGTGATTAATTTATCACTGCATGTTTGAACTATTTTATTTTGAACAGAACTTCTACGTAGCAGTTCGGATAATTCATTTAATTTATTGTTCGCACCAACAAAATTTGTAGCATTGTCACAATGCAGCGTCTGGCAATGTCCTCGTCGAGCTATGAACCTCTTCAGTGCACCAATAAATGCATCAGAAGTTAAGTCGCTCACCACTTCTAAATGAACTGCTTTTGTGGCAAAACAACAAAACACTGCTACATAAACCTTGTGTGGTCTTTTTCCTCTGATTTTGTAGTGAACCCAAAATGGTCCACAAAAATCTACTCCTGCATTGTAGAATGGCCTTGAAGGTTGAACTCTAGCTGGTGGTAGCTGACCCATTATTTGTTGAAATGT